ACACACACACACACACAGCCATCATACATTGCTGTGAGAGAAACCCACATTCACTCCCGCTTAGGGGGGTTAAACCTCGTGTCGGATGGGTATTACACACAGTAACAGGTTACTCATCACAGGAGCAGATTGCATCAGTGGGAAATGTGTTTTGAAGCTCCGTTTATTTTGTTTAAAACGTTAACTTAAACGTAACCTAACTTGTTATTCATATTTGGAATACCTGCCCTTTGTTTACCTCAGAAAATAGAAAACAAAAGTGACGGGTAAAGTTAGTGAAGACAGGAGAGAAACGAGGCTCCACTGTATCCCTGCTCTGTTGTGCAATAGCCATGGTGTTGTAATAATGGCTGACTTCTTAATGTGGCTTTTGTTCATGCCTCTGGTGTCTTTTATAGCCTGCTAGTTTTGTGGTTTAAAGGTTATGGTTACGGGTGATGTCACTGAGTTTGAGAAAATACAATCTTTATGAAAGCTGGGGAATTTTAATATGGAAAATAGGAACATCTACCAGCCACAAATGTACAAAAGTAAATTATTATTTTGTGAAATTTACAAGTCACCGACATTTGGCCCGTGCTAATCTCCCACCCTGAGTAATCTCAGATAGTTGAGGTGTGGCAAACTTGCTTAAGCCTTTGTTCCTTTATTCTGTTTTATGATGTCTATTACGTCTACACTTGATGTCAGGGCAGCATTTTTGATAAGCCAAGATCACTTTTGTTTCCGATCATGGGACCCAGCTGTCCTGAAACGTTTTTACACGAGAGCGTCCTTCTAGTATTTGGCCCTGTTTTCATATTTACCAAAAAAGCAATAATAAAAAAATAACTTCATTAGTCTTATCGGTCAGTATCTGTAGAGCATGAACGCAAACTGAGAAAAATAAGTCAAGACAACATTGACACGGAGGCAGTGCTACCACGTGCACTATTGTATAGCTTCTGCTCACTGTCTAACTACAGTCTGTTTTTCTGCAGGTTGCTGTGTGACTCGCTGGGTCTTTGCCAAGGAGTTCTCACGCGCTTTACAACAAGCACACACGCAGACCTCTGCTGACCCATGCTCCTGTCTTGCACAATCAAAATACTGCATGCACACACTGACCAGCCACAGAAAACACATTCACAGACCTACTCTAACCCTTCTCACAGCTTACCGCAAACACAGCTACTGGAACCCATTACACACATTTCACCACTCCCCTCCTTCTTCCACTTCTTCTGCTCTCCCCTGCTCCTCCCCTCTGCATACCGCTGGAGCTGCGCAGGACTTCTCTGCTCTTCCTGAATTTTAAAATTTGTGCAAACCACAGCGAGGAACACCAACACTCTGCCACTGAGTTGTGCACATATCAGCGTGATGGCAACATGATAAAATGTACGGAATAGATTTCTGCCACATCATTTTCTGGACGCATTAATCTCATTATAATGAAGATTCCTGCCTCCTCAATTATTTGCGATTCTTTGGCTTTGACCCCAGAACGTGCTGACAAGAGATGCTCACTGATTAATCTTTCTGGATATCTTCTGCTTCTCCTTACACAGTGAGTGATCAAGATGAAGACCACAGACATTACTTGTTCTATTAGTAGACAATAACAAGTACAGTTCTGCTTACACGTACAAGAAAATAGTAGGGAGTGTAGTGTATTGATATACACTGATATCTATCGACCATCCAGCAACATAAACGGCTCCTCTGAAGTCAAACCAGACTGTAATGGGGAGAGAAGCAGGGGAGAGGGAGGCTCCTGGCCTTCCGGAGAAGAGGAAACCCAAGGAGGAAGCAGAAGAGAGTGATAGTGAGAAGGAGGTGGAAGAGGTGGGCAGAGGTGTGCCGATCCCCCTGCACCGCTGGGTAATGCACGGAGCCGTGATGTTTGGACGCGAGTTCTGCTACGCCATGGAAACGGCCCTTGTGACGCCAGTGCTGCTGCAGATAGGTAAGGAGACACAACACGGTCATATAGAGAGACACACTCCCTATCTAAATGTTCTACTGATGTCGCTCCGTCATATCTAAACATGAAAATTCATCAACACTGTGGGGAACTGGAATTTACACTTTAGAGCCCTCCCACTCCTGGCACACAGTGGGTATGGTCAGTCTATATCACCATGTGATGTCCCAAAGCTGGCTGTCATGTCTAGCGCGTTCTGTTCATCCTGTCAGGATACATTTATGGCAGCGTTCCTTCGGTAAGTGTGAGTAAAATGACGACCCGCACTGATTGTTTTCCCAGATTCAGCTCATGAGCATCTTATTTGTTTATGTTCTACTGTATATATGAGAGTAGGTGGGTTTGGTTTGTGTTGAGGCCCACCACCGCTGTCCAAAAAGAGTTGCCCCTTTTAGTCCAAATTCCAGCTTTAGCCAGGCTTGACCTGATGATTACCCAGGCTGCACCACTGTCTCGTGTAACCTGTGCGCCCAACAGTAGCCAACCAGGGGCTATGCAGTTAGATGTCAGCTTTGCCACCATAGCAGAAATGAAACAAAGGCATTTTCCCCTGGCTAGGTATGACAAGAATGTCTAACACAGCACATTTCAGTCTTTCTGTTTTCCTCCCTATTCACAATATTGTAAGAAAGATTATGTAAACTTTCAGCCAAAACCCCATTCAGGATGTTTGTGAAAGAATTTTCTAAGCAAGCATCCAGTTTTGCTTCATCATACCAGTAATCTCTGTGGAAAATGCATAGAGTCAGTTAAATTTGTAGTTTAGTTGATCAGTTATGGTGCGTCTTTATGTAAAAGTAGTTATTGTCGTCTTTGGTAGCCCAGAGTCCAAGGCCAGGCCTTCGGAGGGAAAAGGTTCTGGTAAATAATCTGCTGTATGGTGTGGGTAACAGTCAACAATTGACTGTCTCGGCATAGGATTGTCTGAGGGAGTTTAACGGATTCAATGGATCACTTTACGCTCCATACACTGTTTCTTCTTTGCTCTTTACATTCAGTTGCAACAGTTTGTGACAACACCACCTTCAGAAACATTAACATGTTGACCCTGGATGAAACGCTGCTAGATTGAACATTAGCTCTGTGTTTTTATAGGGTTTACTTTGCTATAGTAAACACTGTAAAACACACATAAAGTACAATTTACTTGTATGTCATGTTCTTTATTATTGCCAAAATAAATCTATCTCTCTGTGGTTTGTTGAATTTCCCAGAGCCCGTCAAGCTTAACCATACATTTATTACTGCAGTCTCTTTTTGACTGTTAGGGCTCTGTCAGAGGGACATGTCCTTGTTCAGTTTTCTTTACTCTAAATGCATACCATATCCTGTGGGTTTCTTATTAGGTGGACACTTTTATGGCAGTGAGTGCATACACTGGTAAACATGAACATAGATCAGTTGAAACATATTACTTTGTCAAAGCTGCACAGGACCAGAGATTTGTTGTTATTTTTTTTGTTTAGAAAAGAAGACATGCTTTACTTTTGTAATAACTAATTCTTGTTTTACTATGAACAACCATAAAACCCTTGAAATACTCCTTGTTTTACCAATTCCTGCTTGAAGAACCAATAGTTTATCAAGAATTATATACCAGAACAAACGTGGTTCCCAACTTTTTGTTTTCTGTCACTGAGTAAACAGAATAAGTGACATGTTGTATGCATATTTCATATTATTTTAAATGCATAACTAACAGTACAGAACAACTGATGAACTGTACAATGAACGCAAATAGTGAACACAATAACTGTAGGAAGTTTGTGTAAAACAAGAGATTTGGATGCATTTTGAGCAGATTATTTCTTGTGAGCATCAGAGATGAGTTAAACAATTATACAAACTTAATAGGCTTTTTTTGTTTGTTTATTTGTTTACAAATTCTGTGTTTTTTTTTTTTGCCCTACTGTTCTATTAGCTCTTGTTTTTTTTTTTTTACTCTGTACTTTTCTAATGCAGAACAAGGCTGTTTGACACCTGCATTGTTTGCATCATTGTTAACAATCTAGCTGTCTTCTTTTCTGCCTTTGCTGCATGTATTTACCTATTACTGCCACCTGTCAATCAGTGGAATAAAGGGAATCCATTGGCAGGAATGTGTATCACATTACCCTCTTTACATGCGAATCCTTGTCCACATGCATGAGATAAAGAAAACCGAGACCTACTACCCCTCAGAAAACTGCTTCATAGTGCTGCTAGAGGTCAAAAACTCCACCGAGTACCTTCAAGTCTTTAGGCCCACTGACAGAAGAGTGAGTGAGAGAGACAGAAAGAAAGATATTTTTCCTACTGTGAGGAAGTAATATTCTGTTTTGTTGACTTAAGGGAGAAAAGGCCTGAGCAGAGCAAGGCAGTGTGGATAACATGTTGTTCCCGTGAGAACCAGCCAGTTCACCCAGCCAGCTGACTGTGTTGGAATCCATCAGATTTTTACATTGAAGCTAAAAATCCACTTCTTTATATGGAGTGGAAAATCAGGATATTGTCATCTAACAGAGACCGTTGTTTTTTTATTTTAACTGACAGCTGGTAGTGCATCATCTCCCACATTTTTTCAGGGGGGCAAATTGGTATAGCGTTTCCTGATTTTACTACATGCAGAGTCAACTTGAGGTGATTTCACCACTTTCCTGGCTGGTTGCTGCATATTTCATAGTTGTTGTAACATGCCACCTCATTATCTGAAATGTTCCAGCCACCCCAAAAGCTGTTGGTAAAGGAAGCTTGGGGTTCTTCATTGGTATGAGCTGTCATGTTTCATAAACAACGGAACATGGGAAAACTTTCACCTTTTTATTTGTGTAAAAAAAAAAAAAAACAATGAAAAAAGCTTCTCTGCCTTCCCTTCCACCATTTTAGTTATTCTGGCAGGTTCCTACATGGCAAGTGTATGAATAGGACGGCTTAATGATGAGTTTTTACCAAGATGACAGGACAAAACAGAGCCTAGTAAATGATTTATTACAAAGAACATTGAAGCTCATACTATCAGTCCTTCAGTTTGCACAGGATGTTCTTTAGTGATTTATACAGTATATCAGCACATTTTGTGTATGTGTTTCTTTCTAGGTCTTCCGGAGCAATATTACAGTTTAACCTGGTTCCTCAGTCCTATCCTGGGTCTCCTCTTCACACCTGTGATAGGCTCAGCCAGTGACCGATGTACCCTGCCATGGGGCCGGAGAAGACCATTCATTCTGGCCCTGTGTGTAGGTGTGCTGCTGGGAGTGGCGCTCTTTTTAAATGGATCATTAATAGGTGAGTAAATAGTTTCAAAATAGATCACCACTTACAAATTCAACTAATTGCTGTTTAACTGCATGTATATATTTTCTGCTGTTCTGTTCTGTCAGGCCTTTCCATTGGTGATAGTCCCAGCAACCAGCCAATTGGCATCGTCCTCACTGTACTAGGTGTGGTGGTGCTGGACTTCTGCGCTGATGCCTCTGAGGGACCAATCAGAGCTTACCTTCTTGATGTTGCTGACACCGAGGAGCAAGATATGGCCCTGAATATTCATGCCTTCTCTGCTGGTAAGACCAACCATCAACCCACAAAGCCAAAACCTGTATAAATATCAGCTATTCAAGAAAACATCACACACATATCATTAAAACAATTAGCACTTTTCTCAGAATGTGATTTTTATACATATAGGCAGTATAGTTTCAGAAGCTGCTTGTTCTTGTCCTTCTGTCTTAGACTCTGTACAATAATTGTCTGTGCCTGCCTCTTCAGGGCTCGGCGGAGCAGTGGGCTACATGCTTGGTGGTCTCGACTGGACTGGCACAGCTCTGGGCCAAGCATTTAAATCACAGGAACAGGTCCTCTTCCTGTTTGCAGGCATCATCTTCATTATCTCTGTCACACTGCACATGCTCAGTATCCCTGAGCAACCTTTCCATCCATCCAACAAGTTTAAAGCCACAGGAAGTGGGGAGTCTACCAGCCACTTGTCTTTTAGGCCCATTGGCCACACGCCACCTTTTCTAGATGTGATTGCAGAGGAGGATGCTTCTGCCTCCCTGTCCCGAGAGGACAACGACTCGGATCCTGAGGAAGGGGAAATGGACTTCCTTGCTGTGGAGCGAGTGAGGAGTAAAAGCGACTCAATCTTAGCCATGCCAGATGCTACAATCGAGTTGGATGCTGACCTCCACCCAGACTCACAACATTTCCTGCCAGAGGTGCATCACTATCTACCAGAGATGCCGGGAGAGATGGACGATGTTTTCAAGCCATCGGACCACATTATTGGGTCCTCGTCTCCTTCTGGTGGGCAACCCGCCCTTACTGATGGGACAGTGGGTCCAACAAATGGTCCGACTTCTCTCCTTCAGCTCAGTTCTGGATCAGCGGACTCGCATCTGAAAACACAGGTAAAATCAGCTGCTGCAGATTTTGTTTTTGTTGCAAATGCCATCAAGTATCAATTTCAACAAGTTATTTGATGTGATTAATAAATATTTATTTGTAAGATCTTATGGATTAAGACATATATACAACAGTAATTTGTATCTGATAGATTTTTTTTCTTCATTAAAATCCTTAGAAAGGCATCTGCCTCTTCTACCTAATTGGTAGAAGAAGTGGTGGTAAGTGTTCCTGCTGGACACAAGATGTCTCCAACTTGACTTCCAAACTTTTTGTGATGTCACAAATCAAGTTCATAGGCCCCTAAAATTTTAAATGAGAACAGAGAAACTTGGAAACAAACTGTGCACATACATCATTCTGCAAAGTGAAGCTCAAACATCCAACTTTAGGAACAAGACAGAAAATATAAATAAATAACATATATGGAAAAGAAATCCACTGTGCTGTGTTTCAGATATGTAGTCTCATGTCTTCATTTTATACGTCTGTTCTTCTCTCCTGTCCCAGCAGGTCAAGGCTGCCAATGGTGTCAATGCTGGCTTGTCTTCTTCTGACCACTCCAATGCAATGAAAGAGCAGGCCTCCACTAGGCTGGCGAACCGCCCCACCAACACCTCAGTTTCATCCCGGCCACACCCACACATCTTCTACAGACAAGTACAACTGCATTTACCATTTTTTAAATTACATTCTGTCTAATAGTCAGAAGTATTTTCTTGACACAATAGTTCATTTTGCAAATGTGAAAAAGCTGATGTTGGTCTTCATTTTCGCCCCAGCCCTCCTTTACTTTCTCCTACTACGGACGAGTGGGGTCACAGCGCTATCGACTGCGACGGACAGCACCTTCAAGTCCCCGGCCAATCTCCACCTCCCGCAGTCTGAATGATCTGAGTGACCTCCAGCAGCATGCAGACAGACGGGAGTTGCAGCTGTCAGCTAGCAGTCTGTCGTCCGAGTGCTCCAGCTGTGAGGGAGGACCAGACAAGGGTACAACTGTTCGACTGCTCTGGTTATCCATGTTGAAGGTGAAGTAAATTGGATATGTCTTTAATATTTTACTATTGCATTGCATCACATTAACAACATTTTAAGTGTCTGCAGAGTTAACAAACCAAACTTTTGGTTGTGGAATCTTTTCTTCATGTTCTCCTGCTTGTCTTGATTCCTTCTCTTTTTTGTCATCAATAGATGCCGAGGCAGCTGTGGAGATTGTGTGTGTGTCACCTCCTCACGTGGTTCTCCATTATAGCTGAAGCTGTGTTTTATACCGATTTCATGGGACAAGTCATTTACCACGGAGATCCCACGGTACATGCTCACACACACCCTCATGCTGTCTTGTGTCTTATTGTTTAAGTTATGCTAACTGACAGTTATCTATGTTATCTTATCAGTTGTCTGAAGTCAAGTGTATGATTAAAATGATTCTGCTTTTTTCAGGCCCCAGCAAATTCCACAGAGCTACAAAACTATAACAAAGGAGTACAGATGGGCTGCTGGGGACTGGTGGTCTACGCTGCTACTGCTGCAGTCTGCTCTGGTAAAACACAAACACACTTTCCATCTTTATATTTGAATTCAAATCCCTGTACTGCTGCATTTACATACAAAACAAGTGGCCAGTGATGCAGTTAAACCTTTTCCGGCCCTTATCAATTCTGCTTACCCAGTGTTTCCAATAATCCCTCTCTCCGTCTCTCCACTCAGCAATCCTTCAGAAGTACCTGGATAATTTTGATCTGAGCATTAAGGTTGTCTACATTGTTGGAACTCTGGGATTCTCAATAGGTCAGTTACATATAATAAACAGCTGACAATAATATAGTGAAGAACAGTGGATTTGGGAATTATATATTGTCTTAATGGCTATGCATAATAAAGGGAAATGTAATGTCTCCTTCTAACCTTAGGTACTGCTGTCATGGCGATCTTCCCTAATGTTTATGTTGCCATGGTGATGATCAGTGGCATGGGCATCATCTCCATGAGTATCTCCTACTGTCCTTATGCATTACTTGGGCAGTACCATGAAATCAAAGAGGTATGTACACAAACAGACACGCACATATCATCTGGCAATACACATTAAAGCCTGAGATAAGAGTATGTACTTTACACACATACAGACAAAAAGCACTCATGTTTTATAGTTTTTGTTTTTAATTTTGTCTTTTGCAGAGAGTTTTTGAAAGTAACAAAAATTTAAAATGTGTGTACATTTAAGCTAGTTTAGTCAGACTTGTGTGCAGACTAGAGCAATTAAAGCCGATAAAATATTTTACTATTTGTTTGTTTTCTGATCTGGTCTACATCACGAAAACCTACACACTGACAATCTAGAGGATATGTGGTTGAAGTGACTGTTTCTCCTCTGCTAATCCTCTCCACAGTATATTCACCACAGTCCAGCAAACACTAGAAGAGGTTTTGGCATTGACTGCGCTATCTTATCCTGCCAGGTGAGCATTCATCCTTTTTTCACCTCATTAGCTCTGAACTTAAATTTATTCAGTGTCATCCATTGACGCAGGACACAGTGATTCTTTGTCTTATTTGAACTGATCCAGCAAAACCGTGGTTTAGTCTGTGTGCTACAGTAACATGATCTTTTTTTCCTAAATGCTGTCATATCCAGAGGCTTTCTGGTCTAGCAAGAGTCTATGGAAAGCGTGTCGAGCGAGTGTCATTACAGTCTATGCTATTCTGTTGAATCATTCTATTTTGTTTCATTTGCAGGTCTATATCAGCCAGATTTTGGTTGCATCGGCCCTTGGAGCTGTGGTAGAAGCAGTGGGCAGTGTGCGTGTCATTCCTGCAGTGGCCTCTGGGGGCTCCTTTCTTGGCTTCCTTACAGCCTGCTTCCTCGTCATTTATCCTGACTTGGAGCCCAGCCACTCAGAGAAGGACCAGGTGGTGCATTTACCTGGCGATTCAGACACAAGTGGAGAAAGGACCAGTAACCAGAGGTTGGCTCTGCTGAGCCTCACAGATGGAGATAGTTTGAAGGAGACAGGGAATCACTCTGTTGCCTGAGCATAAACATGTAAAGAATTGTTTGGTTTATCCTCACAAGCCACAGCATGTGGGGATTATACCAAATGCACCTGATTTACAAGTTTGTCAGTCTGTGCCTTTCTGAAGGAGGAAGGGTGACGAAAGAGGAAAAACGTGGCAGAAATTAGACGTTCTGTCGACAGAAAAATGGGTGGGATGGATTTGGATAGATTATCTTCTTGGATAGGGGACTGACAAGAGCAAACAATCTCCGTTTTGGGTTGCTCTGCTTGTCTTTTTTTGCTACCTCAAACATAAAACAAATAAATGTTTAATGGTTAGATGCAGAGAAGTAAGCCATTGAAACAAAAAAGGGCCACATGACAGTGATTTGGTCAGACTGTTGAAACTACGTTCGCCCAGACTACTGAAACAAATGTAAGCCTTTATTTCTCAATCATAAATGGGAAGCACACAGAGCACTTTCTGTCTCACCTCTGAACAGTACTGTCACACTGATGCTGCAGAATGTCGTAATGTGTGACATTTTTACTTCACAGAAGCTGCTCCTTAACTACTTAATGGACAATCATAATGTTGTAAACACAGCTGTAAATATTTGTTCCAGTCTGTTAATGGAATACCTTGATATTATATTGTTATTATTTTATAGATGCCAGAAAGTTTCACAGTTCTCACACATTTTATTCACATTTATGATGTCTGAACCTGTTACATAGCAAGCTAGTGTGCAATTAGAAGTGCCCTTTCTAGATATTTTTATGCCTTTACAGAAACACTAAAATTCTGAATGCCATTTTCTACTTTTATGCCAGAATTTACACTGTAAATTTATCATGGCCTCTCAAATTTGACCTCAAGTGGTTTTTGGTTTCAGTGTGATTTGTATTGCAGGGTGCCATTTGTTTTGCTTTCAATTGAATTTATTCAAAAAGTGTTCTGAATTGTACATTCCAAATACAGTTGAAATGGGATATATGTTCACACACGTACACATTACTCATATCCAGTATATAAAAAAAGATGTGCTCTGTCATTGGTAAAGGGATTGCGGTTTCTGTTTGTATCTTTGTATTGAAAGCCAAATTCCCTTCTCTAACATTAGTTCAGGTTGCCATTTTGATCATTTGACAGCCGTAAAACTGTACTGCTGTACAGAAAGGTACGATGGTAAGGGAAGATGAATAGCTCCCATGCTGCTAGGTTTCAGTTTACCTCCTAATAACAAACATGAGAGGTAGCAGAGAGTCTGTGGAACACAATTGTGAGCAATGAGCAGCATGCAAGATAATGTTTACCACAGTCCTTACCACACTTAAACATATTGGCAGTATTACAAACATAGTGCGGTGTGCACAGTGTAAGACAGACTTATGTACAATCTGAACTGAACAGCTTAGCCTCTCCTCTCTGAAGGCCCTTCTTCAGTAGAAGACATAATGGGAGAGGTTGAATGTGACATGGTGTAAAACTGTTCCAGAAACCTGTAGTGCTGCATATTGAATGGTAGAGGACCACTTCTATGCAAGGCCAAACTCTGAAAGCTCTTATCTATGCAAACTTGAAATTCCCTTGGCAGGGGACCAAATTAAGCTTAAGGTGAAGCACAGGATCTTGTCAGTTTGTTTCAGCTCAGAGGAAACAATGCCACAAGTGAAAACATTGCACAGCTTCTTTGTTTCACAGCACAAAAGGATTTATTTTTATGACTTAGGGCGAGATGTCTATTGTCATTGCACCCTTGAGAGACTTCTGTACTCTATGGGTATTTGGGCAATGCCAACAGTCTTTGTTTGGACCTTGTATCCTGCTAGCTGGGCCACTGATTTACCTTTCATGACAGAAAAGTGTCTTCTATGGTGTGATCACCGTCACTGAGGACTTCAGGCCTCAAGATTTACACAGCCTGATTTACGAGCACTACAAAGGGAACATCCTCGTTCTGTGGATTTTTGCATCAGGCATAAAGGGAAAGTGTTGAGAGAATTATTACAACATTATATAGTTTAATCACTAATTTCCCTATCAATAATGCTGATTATTTTTGTGTGACATGGGATTTGTGCCTTCTTTTAAAAGCACCTTTTGACAAGAGCTTAGGGTACATCATTTTGTTACTTTTAGGAGTTAATTTTTGCTAATGTCATGTTTTCCAAGCAATATAACACACATACAGATAATCCTTTACATTATGACAAGTCCTTATAAATCAGAATAGAAAAGGAACACTCTTTCGTGTAATCTGTGGACACATTGAAACTGTCTCTTCACTTCTTTATCAGAGGACCAGAAAGAAACCGGCAGCTGAATCGAAGCCTCTCACTTTCTCTACTGCTTACATTCCTTGTACATTCATTTAGTTGCTCTAGTCGGGTTCAATGAATAATTTCAGCTGGTCTACATGTTTCAGAGATGTTTCCACCTCACCGAGAGGCTCCCTTTTTATTGCCAAACTACTGAATAAGAAGTTTCTTGGTTTATTTTGATTTTATACAAATGTTGAAGCTTTTCTGCTGATATTCTGTTGCTGTTGATTTGAAAGTTCTCTTTGCTGCTGTACAGACTTTTGTACAATGAAAAGGTATTTTTGTACCAGTTATTTGAAAAAAACCCAATGAATGCACCTTCACTTGTGTCTTAGTTTTTATTGACAATCTCTCGCACATGTTATTTCGACATGTCCTTTTCATTTGCTCTTTTCTCTCCATTGTTTTACAGAAATGAAATAACCTCACAGTCGAAGCAATAATCTGCAGGAAGTTGATTATTGATTTTAGAACAACTTTGTATGCATAGTTACTAAGTTAGAAGTAATAGTTAAATGTCTGTCATAGGAAAAGCATCATCTCTGACCCTAGACAGACAACTTTGTACTAAGAAACGAAGAGTTGCTTCTGTATCTAGCAACAGTTTACACTCAGGCTAATATTTTGACTTGTGACTACGTTTATCTGTTAAAGTGTCAGAAAACAAAGTACTCATATCTAGTTAATCAGACAGCCATCAAGTGTGCTTACAATCCACTAAAGATACAAAATCACATGATGTTCAATATATGTCCAAGAAAGTTCCCCAATGTCCAATGCTATCAATTAGTCTCAATAGTAACATGACATAAAAAGATACTTAACCTAGCACAAAGTTAAAATTCAACAGACTTAATACCATGCAAATAATCCCTCTCTGAAAACTGATACGAGAATTACAAAATATAAACTGAAAAATGAAGTGAGTTTTACCTATTTGTAAAAACTTTAGCATAAAATATCATAATCTTGTGAAGGAATTATTGTTGTGCGTCATTATAGTGAGATAATTCCATGAGAAGGTGTGAACCTGTAGACTGTAGGTGAATGTTTCTGCACTGGAACCACTATATCTTCTGCACAACCCATCTTGGCAAAACATACCAGCAAACCCCTCTCTATTATTTATCATTTTTGTCTCATTTTATTTGTATTTATTTGATTTGAAACTGAAATTTGTGCAAAAACAGAAGCTCTCAAGGTGTTCATTATGCATGGGGTGCTGACTGGCTGACTGTAATGCTCCATCCAGTCAACCACCGCCACCTTCAGGCCAGTGTGAGTTACTACAACGAGATCAAACTAATTGCAAAGGTTAAATCCATCATGATAAAGAACTTAGATGTCATTTACACACATCACAGTCTAAAGTCGGTATCTGCTCATACAGGCATCACCTTCAGCCGGGAATCCAATCAGAGCATTATGTTTTTATCAGCCAATTATTAAAATGTCACACTGATTTCAAACTTATTTGAAACAAATTATGCAAGACATTGTAGAGCCTAATTGTGGTGCAAGATAGAATTACTGTGCAACACCTAAAACAATAATATATGCATTATATAATATTGCACCGTGCTTCCTGAAATCATCAATGCGCATGTTTGTACTTCCACACAGAGAAACAGGAAGCAGTGACAGACAGTTAACATGGCCCCCCCGCCGGGATGAGCGCAGTCAGTAGCGCCGCAGTCGGCTGCGCAGGAACTTTAACTCCGGACCGCTGTCATGAAAGTGAAAGGGGGATGAATGAGGAGCCGCTCGGTCGTCTGTGAGGAGGTTAGTGACCCGAGAGAGAAGCCTCGCCTCTAATGACAGGTTATTTATTGACTTTTAAGAGTGTTATTTTGTTTGTTTGGACTTACTCTAACAGCATATCGTTGACTTGCATCCTCTCACCTGTACAGGCTTGTGACTCAGTATCACATGCCACAGCTGCAATAAAGCAGTTTGAGCTCGGTTCCTAACTTTAATTGGCTCAATGCTAAGTTATTTGCTCAACCTTTATCTTGCTCAGACCTGCCTTGTGTAGGAATATGGCTGTAAAATGATATTCTGTGACATTAGTGTGTAACAGTGTGGCATTACAGTGATTTTCTTGTTTTGCCAGTGACCTATTTTTAACTGTCTTTAATATAACCGGAGCAGTCAGTATTTCATCTTCAGGTGAGGTTCATATGAGCTACACACCACTGTTAAAGAAAGTGAAAGAAAGTCATGTTGCTTTGCTTAAGATAGAAATGATTAAAAATGATGAACAACTGAAAAAGTACTGTGTCTGATACAATTTTCTGAATTTGCATGGGAGCAGATCAAAGGAGTGTCATGTAATGTTTCTCTGCACTCCACCACAAGTCTGTGACCATAGCCTACAGGTTATTTCCATCTTCTGATAGATGGATATACTTTATTCATCCCAAGCTGGGACATTGCAGTAAAGGTGAAGTGAAGGTCAGACATTGTTGTTTTAGGTCATGTTTCTGCTCATCGAACTTCCAGAAATCACAGTGCCTCTTCTCATCTGCTTATATTGGTGTAAATGCTCGTCTGTATGTGTTTATCCCGCTCCTCCGCTCTGTTCCTTCACACTAAAAATGATCTAAAAAGACTGTGTTGTTATGGTCTGATGTGGAATTTTCCCTGTTTATCAAGGGTCACATGATTGTACTGTATACTATGACATGTCACATCCCTGGACCAATAATGAAGGGACAGCAGCAGGTCATGTGGCGTGTCCTTTTTAATGCGATATTGGTTCAGTGCTGGACATGCCTGCTGCCGAAGATTAGTTATCATTTCATTTTACAGTGTAACAGTGCTACACTGTTGTTCCAATGGTCAAACAATTAGTAAAGGATAAAAACATAAATATTTAAACATGCTTTATTTCATATTTCCAACACTTAAAGTTATTTTTTGCAGCTCATCCTCAGTCAAAAAGAGCTTAAGATGTGTCTGCTTCTGCCACTGTTTTAAGCCCATTCAATGTGGCCCAGTTACAAGTCATTTTCTCTATGTTTCTGTGTGTGTTTGCCCATCCTCCTCTGCACACATGAGCCCAATTTTCCAAGAAGAGACTAGCCTAAGAAACAGAAACAGGGGAAATGTGATTTAAAATAATTTGCTCTTCACTGCAGTGACTCAGCTGAACAAAAAAGGAGAACAGCCGAAAAAAAAAAGGAAAAAGAACCGCAAAGAGGGGATGTAGAATAACGTGTCTGTCCTTTATCTCAGTGTGTGGATGTGCAGTAAAAAATACTAGTAATTGATGAGTGCCCCACATATCTTAAATCAGTTTAACTAATTCAATTATTTTCCTAAGTTGTTATTTGGATTTCTAAGAACACTTCATAGGTGCCACTGGCGCCACAGACTAAAAGGGACAAGCAGATAGTCTGCTGGCAGCAATACTTTGTTCTATTCACACATAGCAGTAAGCATTACCACTACTATAGTAGATGGATACATGTAAACATTGTATTACAGTAAATGTTGTTAAGTACATTGAAATGCAATGTCCAGGCTGTCCACGCTGATTTTTTTAAGTATGGACTGATTTAGGATTTGCTGTACTACTTTGTTGTTGTTTGCCTTCAGATCATAGCAACAATACTGCATTTAAAAAAGGAACTACAACCCTGGACAGAAGTGTAAAAAGTAGTGCATTGCAGAATTATGCAGTATATCTCAAATTACATAGTGTTGTGCAACTCCTGTTAGAAACTATGTGGAACATGTGATATGTGCACCATGTAATCTCAGATGTAATACAATTAAATTAAACTCAGATTCTGTGAAAGGCTTGGATCTGTAATAATTGCTGTGGTGGGGAAAAATGCCTGACTGGGTCTTTAGAAGTTGTTGTTGATGAGAACAGCGGCAGTGATAATGAGCTGGAATGGGTCGTCTACTGATCACAGGGAGTTGGCAGTTCGATCCCAACCTCCTCCTGTTCACGTGTCCAAGTGTCCTTTGGAAAGACACTTAACCCTGAGTTGTTCTCCAGCCGCTGCCAAATTAAAAAAATGCGGATCATCAGATCTCCATGCCGGGTTGGACGGGGCCCGGTTTGCCGTATGTGGAGCAGCTGAAAGAAAAAGAAACAAAAAAACTCTTTCACTCCTCTCTCTGTTTGCTTTCCCTGTTACTTTCAGTAGTTGTGGTCCAGCAGGTCTGAGTTGGCCCTTGGCCCAATTCTGCTGGTCCAACTGGGTCCCTGGGCTGGTGTCAGTGATGTCTGACCATCTGCCTCCTGTTCTGCTGGAAGCCTGTGTGGTGGTAGGAGCATCTAACGACAAACTCAGGGAGGTATACCAGGTATTTGCCTCCAAACGCAACCCACCAATCAGTATGGTTAGACTGTTGATTTTTTTATAGTATAATTTACTGGTATTGGTGTGTGCATAGTGAATACCTGTAAATGCCACGTTTTATTACTTTTATCTTTTTATTAACCAGCCTAGTTCCACTGAGATTAAGGATTTTTTTTTAAGGGAGACCTAGTCAAGAAAGCCGCGCACCAATGAAAACTTTAAACTCTACGCCAGTGGTATATCAAAATGCCCAAAAGTAGGGTAATGTTTGACTTACGAAAAAGCTAAATCAGCAGACTCCCATGTTTCTTTATTATTTTAGACTCACCAAGAAAGACTGGCTTTGGCATTAAATAACTGTGCAATGAGCAAGGGAGAGGACACATAGCAAACATTGGTCCTGACAACAAAAATAATGGCAGAGTTTGACTTTCAGGACCAGTTCATCATTTCCCTTCTCTCTTTTATTAAACGAGCCACAGGAATGTATGTAGAATATGTGGAATCTGCATTATAGCATGTATCAAGGCTAATGATAATAATAAGAGATCCACCGCCCCCAATCCTTCCCTTCCTGTCTCCCACTCAGGTCTTTAAAAATAATGGAACTCCAGAGCACCTCCTGTTGGAGCCAGAAGTACTGCATGTCCTAGCGCCTCCCTTTGTTAGCAGACTGCCAGCTGAGAGCGAAGCAGTGAAGTCACATGGGAAGAGGCGGCGTTCCTTTCTCAGGAAGAAGCGGGAACACCCTCCTTCAGTGGCAGCAACTCCCAGCCAAGGTCTGGTTCTGGTACCTGCTTGTCTAGTCTGGTATTTTTATCCACACATAACACTTGTGGAGCCACAAACATGTTGTTTCCATCAAGGTTTCTGATTTGTCCCAGGTCTAATTTTCTCATCAGTAGTGATTTTGTATTATTTCAGCCCCTCATATTTTTGCAGGTGGAGGAGCAGACGGAAGAGGAGGAAGTGAAGATGTCATTGTTCCTAAAGACATCGACCTTATGGCTTTACCTCAACTCTGCTTCCCAGGTATTTGATATTCCCTGCTACACACAGACACATATAATGGCAGTTAAATGTCTAAAAGTCTCCATTGAGAAAAGGTTATAGCTGCTGTCATGAGGATAAAACATAGTTTTTTTTCCCTAATCGAGGACACTGAAATGTACAATGATCAACTCTCTGTGTCAAATCCACATTAGGATGATTTCTCAACAGTTACCTATGTGTTTGTGCATACAGTAACACAAAGTTTAAATTCTTGTAATTGAATTATATCATGCCTATGTCTTAACATGTTCTGATGTTTTTTCTTTTTACCAGATGGGCTCCAAGTAACCAAAGAACAGAAAGATGAACAGTTCCACTTCCTGGTTTTTACTGATGTCTTTGGCAACAAGACCCATGGAGTAGTAATGCAGTGTTACCGATCGATACTGGTACACAGTACTACACAAAACACCAATAGTTGAACTAAATCCCAACTGTGTTTTACTGCTGCAACCAATTCCCTAACCTGATGCATTATAAAAACCTTACCTCAGCGGTCCACTGTCTTTCTGGTGTTTTTACAGGAAGGGATGTCTGTCTTAGAGAATGGAGCTGGGTCCTTCAAGTCTTCTAAACTTTTCTCTGCCTATAGTTTCTGTGTAATATCCAAGTATCCTTACTTCACTGCACTCAAAGACTGTCTGTCATGGTGAGAAACGCTGTACAAAAACCCAAACTGCTTGGCTAATTGGTCATTTTTCCGTTATTGAATGCTGAATGAAAGATGTACCTGTTAATAGGCTGACAGTGGCGAAGGTTTAATACTTATTTTATGTTATTAACATTTGCCTGGTAACTTAATCCAAATGATGGTTATCACAAGGTTTGCAGGCATTCTTGCACTAATTGTTTGTACTAATAAATGTAATAAGAGAAAATTATTCTCGTGTCTTTCTCGTGTCCCTGTCACTCTCACTGTCTTTCTGTTTCTTTGTTAGTCTGTTAATCCAGCTGAGAACTTGTCGTTTATCAGACATGGAGGACAGAGTGAAGGAATTTGCAGCCAAACTGGCATTGGTGCCTATCCCGCCTCCTGGACAGCTGCATTTGGTGTGTGTGTGGAATATTTTACACTAATAACTACACTAGTTGTGTAGCCAAACTGCAGTTATATGACGATCCATTCACTCTGTGGTTACTTGTCCAAAATATTTACATTCATAATAATCACAAGCCAGGAGTTGCCAGGTTCATATTGCTGATATAACAGACTAAGTAGTAGCATACTTGTGTATGTTTTGTACATGTATTCACCAGACAGAAGTTGGAAGAACACAAACTATATCACTCTGTATGTTTGCAGATGTTTACTTTGCGTCCTCTGACCATTGTATTACCATCCAGAGAAGACAAAGACCACCCAGCTATAGATTTAGACCTCCATCTGCCTTTCTTCTGCTTCAGGCCACAGCAACTACTGCAGGTATTACACACACCTGTTGTGTTAATGTTAGTGAAACAGGACAAAGCTCACATTAACGTTAATGGCTCTTTCTCTGTCCGTTCTTCTGTCCCTGTCTTTGTAGGTGCTCTCTTGTCTCCTGCAGGAACAGCGGGTGGTATTATTTTCTGCGGATTGGGCCAGACTTACACTGGTGGCAGAGAGCTTGCTGCTTTTTCTGCAGGTCAGTTGAAAATATCTGCAAAGGGCACAGTTATGTTAAATTTGATCTTGATTTTTATTGAATTTAACTCATAACTATAATATCAGAATGACTTTTCAATTAAATGTTACAGAGACCTAACAATTCCCACCATGAACAAGCACTATAGAGAGGGGGGGTAGAGGAGGGAGGGCTAACTATAAGCTTTGACAAAGAAGAACATCTTAAGCCTGCTCTTAAAAGTGGAGAGGGTGTCTGCCTCCTGAACTA